CCCGCTCTGGCAGCAGCTACAGGAAAATCCCATGCCCGTGCCCACGCAGTGGGGTGCTGTGAGCACGGCTCCGCACGGAGCCCCGCTGCAGGACAGCCCTGGGTGCAGCCCCGCAGGAAGTTTCGTGTGGTAACACCCAGTGAGTGAATCATGCACGTCCACGGAGCAGAGGTGCACGGGGCCTGAAGGCAGGTGCATCTCCTGCCAGTGCCACCCAGGATCGGGTCCTCTGCTGGGCTCATGGTAAGGGGGCGAGCTGCCTCCCCTCACGCTGACGAAGCTGGGAGTCGCTGCGGAGCCTCTGGAGCTGCTCCGTGTGAGTTCTGTCCTAGAAAGCGCCAGGAGAAGCAGAAGCAATGAGCAGGCCTGCCTGACCAGGGGAGCCCAGCCAGAGAGCAGAGAGAGACAACAGCAGCGAGCAGCCTGAGCCAACAGTCCCTTGCAGGCTGAAGGTCCCTCCTGCCTTCGTGCAGGGGCTCCAGCTGCCGGTGCTCTCTGAACAAGCACCAAGCAGCCACGGTCATCTCAAAACCCACACAACTTTCCTCACCTTACGGTGAAAAGGGCACAAATTGGAGCCTGGCACCAGGAAGAGAAATGTCACGCACGACAGCTTTCTGTTTGACTGGGCGAGACAGAGGGACATATGATGTTTGCTGCTGCTGGCACGACTTTAAAAAGCAGGCTTTCAAGGGAGAAAAAACATCAAGAGACACCGGCCGGGCTAGAGTCCTGGGAAGGGATGCAGCAGGGGTTTAGGAAGGGGCCACCTGGCACAGGAGCTCCTTGCTGACTGCCTGTGAAGCCCTTCCAGCCGCACTTCTAATGATGCTAAGGGGGGACAGAAAATCGATTTTGACTTGGGTCAGGGCTTGTGCTGTGGCTGTTGCCACTTGCTTTCGCAGTTATCCACTCTGATCTTGTTGTTCTGACTTTGACACCCCAGTGACATGAGTCTTGTACACTGTGGTTAATATGGTTTTGCATGTAAACAGAAAGCCAGGCCTAGCTCTGAGTCAAGACTTCTTGCCTCCTGGGGCCCTCCACTGCAACTGGCTGGAAATTATGTAATAGCCTCACTTCTGTGTCTGAGATGCCAAAGCTCTCATCGAAGCAACTGAGCAAACACATCCAACTCGCCTCCTTCAGCTGCCTGCTCAGGCAATGGCTCGGTGGGCTCCTGGCCCACACGCGCAGCCCCCAGCAGGGATGGGGTCCCTCTGCTTTAGGAGGAGACAGCTTGGAGTTAACATGAGCAAAGCAGGCAGTTCTGCTACAGCAGTTAACTGAAATGGCTAACATTTCCATTTTCCTCTGTGAGTTTCAAGATTAACAAGCCCCAGAGAGTGAAAAGAAACAGTTGATCCTCACCAAAGGTGCTGGTTCAGGCTGCGTGCAGCATCAGGAAGATAACGCATCAATTTACCAATGCTTGCTAATTTTATATGTCAGAAACCTTCTTCATAACCACAAGGGTGAGACAGGAGGAAAATGAAGGGAACCTACCTGAAAAATCTTACAGTTGCCCCAGATGCCCCAGTCCCCAGTACACCACGTTCCTCCAAACCCCAGCCACCTACCAGGGGACTCCTCCCTGCTGCGGCTCAGCTCGCTGCCCGCCAGCTGCTGGGTCACTGAGCAGGGCAGAGAGAGGAGAGGATGCAGAGTGCCCCTCGGCAGCAGCAGGAAACCTCTGACAGCATCAGGTCATGGGCAAAATCAGCACTGGAAAGCCTGGAGCGTGGGAGCACTGCGTTAAGGCAGATCTGCAGCAAATACCGAGTGTGCTGAGCCCCAGCTCTCTGGCATTCACACTCAGACTCTGATCCAAGGATACGGCTTGTATATCTAATGGGGTTGCTAAAGCAGCAGATTTATAAACACACATCTCCTTCAGAAGGAAACATCTGAGTTTCCACCAGAACCCTTGTAGGAATTACATTTCTCTTTCAAATACAAACCAGACTCTGGTATGATGAAGGTTTGGTCACAGAGAACAACTTCTTAAACCTCATCAGATTCCTAAGCTTGCCTTTAGCAATTTCAGGAGTTAAAAATTGGTAATTTCCACAAGCACTGGTGAAAATGGCTTGTGAGCAATCAGTTCAAATTGATCCCCAAAGCAGCTTTGTCTCACTAAAAAAAGCTCTGTTCCATTTTAGTCTTAGATATCAATGGTTATAAAAAAAAAAAAAAAGGTGTTTGTATGGGTATAAAATATACATTATGTAAGAGCCAGGACTCTAAAACAATGGAAAATGTGTGCTACAAAAATGAGCTTAGTGGCTTCCATTACAAGTGCTGTGGCATAAGAAATGGAAAATATTTAGTCATTTTGTCATGTCCAAGTATTACATGATCCAATCAGATGTTTGAATTGCTGCTAGAATATTTAAAACTGCCTGGTTACACGTGAGAGCAGATCTTTCAGTGTTCATTTCAGCCTAAAAGAAGAGTAAATTTGGATCTCAGGACAGTTTCTCGACAGGCTTTAAGAGATGAAGGAGGAAGTTCCTGCCAAAAGATGTGCTTCCACTCCTCTCCCCACCCTGGTCGCCTGCTCCCATCACCTCCCTTCTGTCAGAGGGAGCCCAAATGAGGTAGCTGACCCAACAGAAAAAATATATATTTCTTTTTTTTCCCCCCTTTTTCCTTTGTTTTCAGCCAAATAAACAGGCTGATTGCTCATTTGGTGCAGCAATATATCTTTAAATCAGCTGGCATCAACAGTGAAACTGAATCCACAGACAAATGAAATAGTTTTGTCAGCTCTTCTTTGGCACACGAATAGCCTTGCTCCATCCCACAGCCCTAGGATTTTTACTAATACGTTCAGGAGGGAATGGTAACTTCCACCATTGGCACATGCTGTCAGTGTAGAATCAGAAATATGCCTGCCTCTTAGCTCAGAGCAGGGAAAAAAGCTCATTTCCTACAATAGCCTTTATCTTATATTGTTTGTCTCATGTCTTGCCAGTACTGAGAGTTTTGCTTCAGGCTAAGTCAGCTGGATGCCAAGTTACTTCTTTTAAAGTAGAGTTAAAAAAATCCCCCCCAAAATAAATTTTAGTCCCAGTGACTTCAGTGGGAGAACAGCAGCTGCAGCTGAACTGCTCCATATAGGCTGAGGTATTTGCACAAGTGTGAGCAGACAGACTGACAGAAAAACAAATCCAGAACAGACTGCAGCCAAACCCCTTCACTGCAAGCTCTCTAAGGCAAAGGCCACTGCAACAGCACAGTGCTGAGTACATGCATGGTGATTGCGGCCTTCCAGTGAAGTAATACAGCCCTGCCATTGGGGTGAAAGAGCACTTTTTTACTCCTGCTTTTGCAGGAAACAGTGCTGGTGATAAGCTCCCTCTCCCAGGACAAACTCAGGTGCCTCCTGCTTGCTAGCAGCAACACAAAGCAGGTCCAGCAGCGTGGCCCCCAGCAGCAAGCAGTCTCTTCAGTCCTTAGCTCTACAACTACAAGCTCTAAGGGGTATCAGCTAACACCACTGGCTCTGGCATGATCAAAAAAGGCTGGAGGAAGAGAACAAAAAAGCATCCAAACCCCAGCACTCAGAGCCGTCCGGTCCCCAGGCCACGCTGGACCTGTCCTGCACAGCAACACAATGCAGCTGCATCTGGTCAGTGCTGGAAGCCACCCAGGCCTTCTCCAGTACGCACTGAATCTTGAAAACCAGATAACAGTCGTGCGTCAGCACCTTGCATCCCTCAGGAACACGCATGGCCCCGTGCTCTGCTCAGTCCTCAAGACGCACAAAGCTGTCTCTGGAAATTTTCTGCTTATTCCAGACCTCCACGCCTTGCCTAACACCGCAGTAGCTCAGTGCCTGATGAAGCATTTTCAGATTTCAAGTTGCCACGTATATATTTAGCTGCAAAATTTCAACTGTACTCAAGCTTGCTGGAGCAGCAGCAGCTTTCCACTTCAGCCTGCTGTACTACAGGCTTGTACCACAGGCTCACCGCCTCTCTGCTGTGCTCCCATTCTAGGAAATGTCCCACCAGAAGCTGCCTCTTTCCAGTAAATGACTTGTGCAGATAGGGCCTAAAGAAGTGAAACGTAACTACCCCCAGGGCAGGAGTTTGCTTCTCACTTGACAGCAGAAGTGTGGGGGGATTTTTTTAAATCAAGTAATCTAATACTGATAGGAAACAACACAAGTCTTTTTTTTTCCCCTTTCTAAACTATTGGCACGCTACACAGCGGTGTCAGCCACTTCAGAAAGTACTGAAATTCTCTCTCTCTTACTCAAAGGGAATAAAACTGACACAAAAATCCCACTTGTTTTCAGAAGCCTCCTTCTTCTTTTTTTTTTTTTTTTAAATCAACTGAACAACTTGCAATATTGAAAGCCATCAGCATTCTCGCAAAATCATCTTACACAGGCTTTGATGTGGTTGCACGTGAACTTCTGTCTATCTGGACAGTATCAGGAAAAGGCAATAACAGATTTGTGATTGATTAGGTCTTCCCTCATCCTTCATCTTTTGCTTTTTCATAGATTGCATTTATATTTATAGGACTAAAAGGCAAACAGTAACCAGGTTGATTTCCTGCTGATAGGGACTTCCTTCCCTGCCCCCTCCAAAACAGAAAGCCGTTATCTTTTCTCTTCCCCTTTGCTGGCCCCTGTTTCAGAAAACCTACTCCAGAATTCTCTATACTACAGAAATAGAGTGAAAGAAACTAGGAATAGGCACCCCATCCTTAAAAAAAAAATAAGCAAATTCCTTCTTGACCGTGGCAGGCTGTTAGCAGCCTTTCTTTAGTGCAAAGGAAGATTACTCCTAATTTAGCATATGCACCCATACAGTTACCCTCATGGCTATATGGTCCATGTTAAAAAAAAATCAGGATCTCCAGGACCTTCTGTGCAAAAACAGAAATGAAACTTGTAGGCTACGTGCTTGTAATAAGGAGTTCTGTATGCTACAAAGCTGAAGAGACCAAATCTTAAAGTAAGCAAGTAAATTGTGTAACACTACCTGAAAGTAATCAGTGATGAAGGATCCCAGTTCACTCTTCAGCAGCCGTCTGTAGACAGAAGGAACACATCCATGAAGCAGCAGCCATTGCTGGTCATTCTAACAGGCATATCCCCGCTTTACTACCAGTCACGCCAAAGATACATGAATATATGTGAATGTGTCATTATGGCCACATTTAGATTTCTTTTACATCTAAGTATACTTTTTACTAATGCTTACAAAAGCTATTGTAAAATTATGAAGGAATGAAATCGTGTCCCTGAAATCTTCTATTTATAAACAATGCACTTAGAACAAGAAAAAAAAAACAGCACTGACACCCCCAAATCCACAAAAAGCTGGGATGATAACTTCAAGTTTTCATTTAGTTTGAAATTCATCATTTCTTCTGATTTTTCTTTAAACAAAGCAACCTTTCGTTTCATTGAAAATAGCACATCTCTCCAACGTAATACTTCCTTTTCTCTTGGAAGTAGAAGGTGGGTAAGGAGAGGAGCAACAAAGTAAACAATGCAAGCAGAAACTGCAGTTTCCCCATGACAACTGCGTTAAAAAATAGTTTTTTAAAAAGGCACAGTTTTCAAGAAAAGAGTTCTAGGAATTTAACAAAAACTGTTTTACGTACATGCAAGCAGAAGGCACTCCTAACGAGCATTTTTAATTAAAAACCGTTGGATCTTAAATCAGGCTATGATAAAGGTTTTTAATCCCTATATATATTTTATAGTTCAAAATTCTGCTACGAGAAACAAGTTTGTTTTAAATCAGAAGAAGCATTAAAAAAAAAAACTCACAAAGTTCAGAGCATGTCAACTTTGAGCTTTCAGTAACTGTGATGGTAAATTTCGCAGCAGTAAATTCTGCCTAAAATGTAAGAGGTGCTCAACACTTCCCTCTGCAAAACATCGCATTTTCTGCTGCTTTAGGAGTTTCACTTTTCACCAAAGTGAAGCATTACCAAGAGTGCTTGAGTCAGGGACCATCCTGATCTCAGGCTGGGATCTTACCAACAAGCTACAGCTCTTTTTTCTAACCTTCTGTGAAAGCAGCTCCTGACACTGAGCTTCCCCCTCAAACATTTTGCAAAACTTCTTTATTATTCAGATGTAAACACACCTCTACTCTTTCTCTCTCAGATCAGTGATATTCACCCCACCCACCCCAAAGCACATTTCTATGTCTATGAGATGGATGAACCAGATAAATCTTTGAGGGCCTGTTTGTGAGACTCTCTTCTACTGGCTTCAGCAGACTCCTGAGGGCTTTTGATCAGCTAATTCACAGCCCCTGGCAGGACTTTGGCTCCCTCAGTTGGATCATCTGCACCTGCAACCAGAGGCTTGTGCTTCAGAGAGAACCTGGGGCAGTCTCCCCCTAACCATGGCAAGGTCACCCCTTCGTTCCTGAAAGCCCACGTCCTGATGGCATTGCTGACATTTCCTCTTGCAGTCACAACCAGCTTTCAGAGCAGTGGAGGAAAAAAAAAAAAAAAGTATCCAGTGAGATGATATCAAATCACAGCAAGATAAAAACTTTGTGGCAGCGATCCAGAGCAAAATGTTACCACCTGCTCGTCTCTGGGCCTGTCATTATGACTTTAAAACTCTCCTGTGCTCCACTGTCAAGCAATTAAGCACTGTGCAGAGTCTGTGACTACTAAAGTACCGCATTTGCGAACTCCCACTAATGATCTGAGTAGAGGAATACAAAGGAGGAAAACGCAGCAGCTCAATCTAATGGCACAAAAGAGCAGGCTGACAGCTTTGGCTCCTTGCCCAGCGTCAGGCCAGCAGCTCACCTCGCGCGCCCAGCACTGACACTTTGTTGGGAGCTCCGTCAGGATCCACAGGTGCGCAGCTGCAGATGTGTGCACAAACACACGTGCAGATGCACGTCCTCTGCTCCCTAGTGTGGGGCTAACAAGCTGCTCGGATGGTTATGCAGCCTATTTAGAGAGAGACATTTTGAGACGTAAGCAGTGCTCGGAGCACCTGTAGGAACATCAATCATGGATTTCAAGGTGAGTGCTTCCAAGTGCTGCCTGTGAGTGGAAAGCCCAACTTCCCATCCCACCACCAGAAGTGCTTGCAAAGCACACGCGTCTCACAAAGAACTTCCTGCTCTTCGCCCAGCTCTTGACAGTGCAGCCTGACTTCAGTGATCAGCACAGACACAGCAAGGTCCAACCACGGGGACCAAGCCCAGTCAGCGAGCTGTTTCTCTCCGGCATACCTCTTCCCCTCGAGGCTGGGAAGGAAGGAAGGCACCTGCATGCACCGGGGTGGGAAAGCAAGCTGCAGCCACCCCAGCGGGCAGCAGCCTGGGAGACGAGCCACAAAACCCAAAGCCAGTCCCCGTGTCTGCCAGTGGGCTGTGGGTTAGGGTGTTTCCAAAGCCTTATGACATTTGGTTTTCCTTTCACATACAGAAATCTTCATCCCATGGAGGATTTAGACTGCTGCCAAGTACTTAAACCTAACTTGATGACTTCTGCTTTGAACATACTTAAATACTGTTAAGTAAGGGCACAAGACACTGCCCTTACTCAGCTGTCAAAAGGGATTTTATGAAGCTTTCACCTTTGGGACCAGGTCAAGTAGGACAGAGTCTCATGTCCTGCAAGCTGCATTTATGTTGAAAGTAGGGAAAGGGGTAGTTTGCTGCTGAGTAAGTGCTTGGCCCTAATAGACACTTAAACTTTAACTTGGCACACAGCTAAAATGCAATAGGGAGAGAGCAAGCACACAAACATGGAAGTTGAGACCCATATGACAACATTCATGATGGATGAGTATGGATGGAGTTGGAAAGAGACAGCAAGGATGGACTACACTCATGACCTCTGTCAATATTCCTCTGAGCACCACTTGGAACCAGCACAAGAATAGATTGCTCTTTATCTGCTCTATAATCCTGTCTATTGCTAACTAAAGTTTCCAAATAATCAGAATGAAACCACAGATAACCACGAGAGCTGCCTAAAATAAAAAAACGATACTTTTATTATCAGTGCTAGAAACTGTTTGTTAGAATTCTAGTTTTTTAATCTTCAGGGTTTGTATTTTCAGGTCTTGCTCTGCAATCATCATATGAAGATTAAGCTTTTATATGAAATGCTGTGTTTTACTTTCTTTTTAAATGCTCCGTGGTTCTGAGAAATTCAGCTTTAGAGAAGAAAAAAAAAAAGAAAAAAAAAGAAGTAATAAAAGAGAAAGAAAAAAAAAAAGAAATAAAAGACCTGGAACAGGAAAACTCCCTAGGAAGGGGCAAGACCCTTCAAATCCAAGTCAATACATGTCCTCTACTTGTCAAAGCTACACATCCACATAAGCTGGAGAAACATCACCCAGAAGCCCCATGCTGTTCACATCACCCAATGGCAAAAAAGAGGGCAGATAGCTCAAAACTCTCAAGAGTTTTTTGCTCCCACCCCTCTTCCTCCCAGCAATGTCCTCTAACTACAGTTCTGTAAGGAAACAAAATCAAGCAAATACTGAACAAGCAGCAACAAAAATCAAATTTTCCACACATTTTAGCAACCTACCTGATATTTTCATTGAGGGTGTAAAGTTCATTGTTCTGCAAGCCTCCCCCTTTGAACACATTTATCACTGCTGTTTGAACGCTGCCAAAAAAGAAACGAGACAGTACAACATCCATAAATAACAGCCGCCAGTATGATTTAACACAGAGAGCAACGTGAGCTAGCCAGCAAAAGCTGAGTGGTTATAACGGGGTGGAGAGGTTAATTGCACTTAAATACTTCCACTTTTTCTCCCCTGGAAATCATCACTCTTATTTACCTACATCTCTCACGGGAGACAGAGCAGAACCAACCTTAAACTGTGCCTAGAGTAAGCAAGGGAAAGTCATCATAGGGACACCAATATATCTTTAAAAGATCATTTAGGGGATCTCTGCTAGGTGCTGCAGGCTAGTGGCTATGAGAAGACACAGATTTTTGGCAATATCTGCCAAACACATCACATTGCATTATCCAGTAATGCTGGCAGGACTAGCTGAGCCACCCAGCCTGCAGCATTTGGCAGGATCCTGCCTGTGCTGGAGCACATTCTGCAGCCAGCATCACTTCAGTCAGACACAACTTTAAGCCCTGCTAATGCTTGTAAGGTGTGGCAACAGCTGTTGGAGGATCTTCTAACTAATACTTCTCGGATCGGTGTAGAGGAAATGATGAAGTGACAGTATACAGGACGGTTTGCCAGGTCCAAAAGCTTGCCACACCCAACAAGAGGAGGTGTCATTCCCTTGACAGGCATTCCCTTTTGTGAGCAGGTCATGGCACTTGTACACTTCACTGACCTCAGGTCACTATCCTGGCACAAAACTGGATTTTGCTGGGCTGCTTCTGTGCAACATCATTAAGCTGAGTTAGGTCAGCAAGAGAAAGGGCAGAGCACAGAGCTGCTGCAAAGTAGCAGAGGGAAAGGTGAGAACACCCAACTTTGGTAACAGCAGGCCATTAGATCAGCTCAGGACACCTCACACTTCACCCTACACATCATTTTTCCAGTGGCCATTGCTGCGTGACATGCACTGCAGGCAGGATTGGACTGTCGGTATGAGGTGCTGGTAGAAGTAGAAGCCACACGCTTAGTACCTGCCCGGAAGAACTGGACCGTAATAAAAGCTTCATAATATGCAAGTAAATGTCTGCTTTGCATTAAGAAACTGACCTCTGTTACATTAATAACAATGTGTTCATCTAAAAGGTAATGAAGAAAAAGGAACTGTTAACACAGAGCAATTCTGTTTTGCTTCAAAACAATATCTCCAAAAAATACTGGCCAAAACCAAGGCTGGCTAAACGCTCCTAGGTCTAACTGGTCACCTCCAAAGAGGTTTTAAATGCTGTTAAAGCTTGGGCATGCCAGAAGCTCATGCGTGCTTATAAACAAATAAGCTTGGCCATAAATGTTGTGAAGTACAAAGACCAGCCAGGCACAGTCCCTGCGGAGGGGCTGCTGCACAGGGAGGGCTTGCCCTGAGCGGGTGCTGCTCACCTGTTCCACGCCGAGTTGGAGCTGAGCTGCAGGGCCTGCCGGGCGGCCTGGAAACGTGGCAGGTCACTGAGGACAGGGGAGCTCATGAAGCGAGGTCGTGGCCTTCTGAACGAACCCATCTTGTGGAACTGGACAGCAAAGGATGGAGCTATGGTGAACCCCCCAGTCATAGGGTCAGGCGGAGTGGAGCAGGGCTGTCAGAAAGTCTCTCCTCTTGAAGGTCCACGTGTGAATCTCACTGGCATCAACAAGTCGTCAAATCCAAGGATTCAGCCTGCAACTAAAGCAAAGAATCAGCCTCAGGCTAGCAGTTCTCCACCACGTCAGCTTGTGACATGGACTTGCACTGCAAGAACTGAAGCAGTCCTGCAAAGTGAAGAGAAAGGAAAAGAGTAAGACAGAAAAGGGAGGAGTGAAAATATCCTAACCCCACCAGCAGCAAACTTGGGCAAATCTTCAGGAGCTCTTCAACAGCAGCTCCCTTTCCCATCTTGCCCCTTAAAGAACAACCTGAAACAGCCAGCCAGAAAAACAAGCGTGGTCTCTCTTCCCACTTCTATTAGCAGAGGTGCCTAAACTCTTCAGCCAGAGGCACTTTACAAATAGTTTTTAAACACAATCAGCCATTCAGCCAGTATAAAACCAGAGAAACTGGAGAGAAAGAAATCTATGGCATCAGAAAGAAGAAAGGGACAAAATATGAACAACAGAAGTAAAGATGAAAAGACCAACACTATGGTTTTTGAGAAGGGTTGTGCAAGGGAGTAAAACTCACTCGTTATCAGTCCTTTACCAAAAGATACAGCAAGGAGCTTCTGTGAAAGAGGTCTGACAAGCAGATATTTTGAGAGTAAGCAGGACTGTTTTCTTTGTTTAGTTCTCTATAAAACGAGAAGTAGTTGCTGGCCAAATACGAAATACCCGTACTTTCCCCTCTGATCATCATCTCCATATAGATGAATACGTAGCCCCAAGTAAACCACAGAAACAGAATAAGTTAGAATGAACTTGGATAAAAACCACACAAAAACTCTGGCAAAGCTTCTGCACTTCAAAATCTTCCCACTTCAGACGAATACAAGCAGTAGATGCAGCCGGCAGTTAGAAGAATGAAGATGTGGGAGAAAAGAGAGAGACAGAAAAAGAAAAACAGTTGTGTGACTGAACTGCACATGGAAGATGTAAAGCAAAACCTTCTCTTTTCCACTACATCTTCAGCACAATGGGGGAAAGAGATACGATCAGCTGAAGGCATGTTGTGTATCTGCACAGTGCTTCTAATTTAGCTCCTGCTCAGCTTCAGGACATTATTTTGCACTCCACAAACTGTAATTAACCGTTTTACATCTAAAAGAACAGCTTTCTTCCCACGTGGCCAGGCCAGCCCCATGTTGTGCTGAGCTCACCTCAGCTCCCCCGCCTCCACCTCGCCTCCTCGGTTCTGCTCACCCGCCGTGAAGCCGAGCAAAGCCCTCAGCCCGGCCACGGCCACCACAGGCCCCGCCGCCGGGGATGTTACACAAGAAAACAGAGCAAACACCTCACTTATTAGGCACGTGAGGTGCTGTCATTCGTGCTGCTATTCAAGAAATAGACACACTTGTTATCCCCACAAGCTGAGTACGGTTTGGATAGACCTTTAGACAACTCTTCGCTGTCTCACGAGATGACAAAGCCCAGACAGACTTTCATGAAGCACACGGAGCCCTGACAGGTGTTGCTTGAAAGGGCAGCAAGCTGCCGACCTGGTGGCTGCTCTCTTCCAATTAGAAAAACAAACAACAACAGCAACAACAAACCCACCACAACACTTACAAACTAAGAACAAATATAAAATAACACAACCGAATCAGCCCTGTTTGTGTGCATTTTGCAACAATATTCAGTTCACTGCACATTGCCCACACATTTTCAATCCGCCAGCAATGTCTCGCCTGGCAATTCTAACCACATCAGAAATTGTCAGAGGAAAAAAGCTACAGCACCTTGGAGAGCTGAGGGCAGACATCTCTCATAACACACCAAGAGGTGTCTGGGAGGCAGTCAGTGTAATGGCTGCTTCTGCTGCAAAACAAGTGATCGTGCCAGTATTTGTCATCTTGAAGTCCCAAAGCTGACAGCGTGAGGAGCTGAAAGAGTGGCAGCTGACTTCTGCCAGCAGTGCAGTAAAGTTTCTATTTCAATCATTTTTTATACAGGGAAAACAGCGTATGTATTTTCAGAGCTATATAATAAGGTATTTGTTACTTTAGAGAAGGCATAGAAACTTAACAGGGCTAGAAAGCAGTGGTCAAGATGCCTGTGTCAGCCCTCAATCCTCCTCTCCCTGCTCCAGAGGCTGTAACTGCATACAAGTACCCTTATCCCCAGCAAAGAAAGCATTTTATAAAGCTGCATTTCTATTAATTTCAGTTAGACTGAGCTGCAAGGGGACAGTTTAAATTCAGAAGTGTAAATCAGGAGAGCAGACCTCGTGCCTCTACACTGAGAGATTCAAACTCCGCGCAGGAAATTCTTGGGCGCGCTCTGTGCGGAGGTGAAGCAATGCCATCACGAAGGTCCTTCCCGAGCTCGGCCTACGGATTTACGAGACTGATTCCACATCAGCAGAACGCGGGGCCCCCCGGCAAATTTCCTGAACGCTTCTTACCAAGGGAACATGCTTGCCTCTGCTCGCGGAAACATACACGTTGTTTTCCTTAACCTCTGCTAAAGTCACCCGGACAGATAATAACAAGCTCCTGTCTGCGAGGAGCAGATAAGACGCCTCTCTTCCCCATTTTTCTCCCAGCCTCGAAGTCTGCAATCCCGTGTTACTGTCAAGTCAGCTTTATTTCAGTTTCTCATCAGGAATTTCAGAAAAAAATCTTCAGCATTAGGCCAGATCCAAAGTCTGAATTTAATTTCTACAGGATTCAAAGATACAAATCTCTCCTGTCTTACCTAAAATGGCACTGTCAGATAGCAGGCATAGCAAACTGTTCCTCTGGATGCCAGCTAGCCAAATGGTATCCAAATATAACTGACAGTCCTGTTACCAGAACCGAAATGCCAAGGTCTGTGAGAAGAAGTGTCCTCTCCCCATGCCCACAGCCTGCTTGGACTATTTTCAGAACTTCCTAAAGCCAGAGGTAAGAGAGTGTTTACTGGAAAACAGACTTTTGGCACAACATGTTTGCATTTTGCAGATCCCAGGCACCTGCACATACAACAAAGCCCCCGAAGCAGACCCCGACCTGATGTAGTTTCTCGGCAGTCACTGCAGAAGCACTCCATCGCCCACACTCCCATCAGACCAGGTCTTCCTTTCACAGCAACTTGTTTCCACTCAAAGTTTTCCCAAGAACGAGGCACCCTTGTAAATGCTGCTCCATTTTTGCAGGGAAGTTCCATTAGCAGTTTGCTGGTAACGTCCGTGCTGTGCATTCAATAGTTTGTTGGTTTTTTTTCTTCCTTTTTGCTGAGAGAAATCTTGCCTTGTGGCAAGTGAAGCATTAATGCAGGTTAGTAAGAAGCTCTTGTGGTATTTGGGCTATTTCATCTAGTGGGAATGAACACTATTAGGCAAAGTGCTAAGTACATCAAGGAAAAATTCTCCTCTCCAGTTTGCCCTGAAAACTCTCAAAGAATTATGCAAAACTATTCAGAAACGGTTATTGTTCTCCTAGAGGCCTTCAGTCCAACCTCCCTCACATCTCCTCTTCCCAAGATTAAAGTGGTTTAGAAGATCATAAAACAAAACCTGCATCTAATAATCACGGTCCTACTATTTATCTACCACAGAACTAGAAAAAGCTTTAGAGATGCAGTTACTAAAGGAGAAAAAGAGAGAAGGGAGACACCAGGATCACTTCCACAGAGAGAAGGGAGACACCAGGATGGCAGTTGTTGTAGCCACTGGGCAGCACTGCCTCTCACCACTTATTACAAAGGGCACAAAAACCTTTGGCAAGGAGTTTATTGTAAGTCAGAGGACGATGTACTGCTCTTCCTTCTCTTCCAGCTGTCCTACCCCGGTCTCTTTTTCACTTATCTGTGATTGTCAGCTCAAAACTCGGCTATCAAAACCCACTAGATCCCTAACAAGGCAGATGTCAACTGTGTAAAACCAAGGTCTTGGCGTGAGCAAATGATTCAGAGCTGGATGTCAGTGTTCAAAACTGAGGGAGAGAGCAGGACTATGAGGCAATCTGACAACAATGTAATTTTATCCACTTTTAATTCATCACATCTGAGTAAACACTTTGAGAATTAATTTGAATCTTTCAATAGAGGAATCAAACAAGGAGACAAATCTTTTTCCAACACACACACTCACACAGATAGATACAGACATATATAAAAACATTAGTCATCAAACTAGGAATTTTTGTAATTTGTTTCCTGTTAGCCATGAAAACAAACAGAGAATCCATTATGAAATGATTTAATGAAAAGACTTTTTCTTTCCAGCAGACCAAAACACCAGTGTCTGTCTGGAGGAAAAGCAAGATCAGGTAGTTCTGTCACCTCGTTCTGTCTCTAAACAACAAAAAAAAGTATAACCCAAAGAATAGGTTGGCAGCATTTCCTCCAAATTACGAATCTTCTTGGTAATCCTGGGCCAAGGACCCAAAAGCCCCCTCGCTGCAATTGTGACATTGATGGCCTACAAGTCTGGATACTGCAACGTGTGCCAGAATGCTTTTGTAATGACTTTGGGCATGGAAGAAGCATAATCTTAAGAAAAATCAGACCGTACATCTGACAAACCTACAGATCCATCATGAGCAGTTTCACCCCACCTCAGACACAAAAGTACACAGAGGACTATCTAGATTCTTACTAGCTGCTTCTCCCTCCAGCCTGGTAAACCTTTAACAAACTACGTGATTGGCAAAACCCTTTTTTCAGTTCAGCTAGCAAATTCTCAAGCCAACACTATTTCTGACAAAAATCCCTCATTTATTTGTTACACAGCCATACTGAGAAGTGGAAAAACAGGGCACAACCTGTAACTTAAAGGCTTTTAATTCATCACAACTACACACACACATGAACTTAGAAACTAAGAACTAAGAAAGCAGACAGCATTTGCTACCGTTAAATTTGCAACACATTTGGTTCCTCTTATAGCTCCCAGTTGCTCCGATTCTTAATAACAATAATTAAAAAAAAAAGTCTTGCTTTTCAGAGAGAGAGAAGATGAGCAAATTGAGATTCACCCCATAACTAATAAATTTCCTTCTGGACAGTACTGATCAGAAGATGTGTCATATATGTCAGAGGTTACTGGGAGTC